CTGGACTGGTTATTGAAAATAAATGTGCTACTGTATTTCTCATTCAAATACCTTTTCAGGCTTTTGGAATTAGTTTTTCACTGTCATTTCCCATCCTGATACTATTATGTGTGTTGTTTTATGCAATCAGATATTTAGTTCTGTGTTTAATTTTGATTTAATAAATCGTAAATTCATTGAATATGCTTGATGATGTCCAGTTTGAGTTGATTTAACTGAAGATAGTTTCATAGGAAAGGATAAATTGGAGTTGTTAACTTTGAAACGGTACTCCTGAAGTATACGCAAGATGTCGCATAACCTGAATCCTAACATGGTACACAACCTGAGTACAGGTTGTGCGCCAACTTGGTGCGCATACTTCAGGAGGTCCTTCGAAACTCCTATCCAAGAGTGTAGCCAATCCTAAAATTTGGAGGTGAAGCCATTTTTTTGTGTGACTTAACAGGACACTTACTTACCCGTGCCTTCTACTCCAGAAAGAAGGCCAGATAAGGGCAGCCACTGATATCTAGCAATATCTCTAAGAATCTTTCCAATGACTCGCTTCGCTGTCGAAGTAATCAAATCTATATGAGCCAACATTTCCATCTATCTACGTTGGTTCATGGGGAGGAAGGTTTGTTAAAAGTAAGCCAAAAAACGTCAAGTTATCAGTGAGTCAACGTCAAGTTATCAGTATCAAATCGCTGTTAAAGATTAATATTGAAAATGGTGACCGTACATTTGAACCCATGTGTATATTCGCGAGGTCAATCTATATGCGGGTGCTAAACCCATGGGTTAGGGTTAGTATGGGTTCAAATATCCGTAAAACAACAAAAGTTTTCATAGGTGCAATAGTGTGCAGGTGCAATCGTCGTGGGCTCAAATGTACGTGGGTTCAAATGTAATGGAACCATTGAAAATATGTTAATATAGGGGGATGAGTGCACGGAGCCCTAACAACGCATATGCAAATGGTTTTGAACATTTATGGCTTATTAACTTGGTACAAGAAAAATTTAGCTTACAGAACTTGAGCTCAATCAACGATGCGATGAGATCTAATGATAGGCAGTGGTCTGCATCTTTTTTGGTAAACCAGAACCCAAATGAGACATTTGTAGGTTATAAAAATGAAATACAACTGCTCAAGCAAGTGTTTGTATATCTTTATTGTAGTTCGGGACAGGTGCGAGGTTTGATTATTGGACACGTACTGGACATAACGATCGTTTCAAAATTTTGTTGTTATTATTATTTGTCTCCGTCAACACGTTTTGAAGAAATCGCTTTTCTCTTCGAATACTGGACCAATTGCTTTGAAATTTCCAGTGGTTAAAGATAAAAAGCTAAGCGTTAGGAATACGCTCGCCACCGCACCTCTAATTACTCTGCGTGTGTTCGCAGGTTCGGATCCCATGCAGGGATGGTTATGTGCGAGAGGATTGCTGGACTCCTCGCCGTCGTTGGGTGGTTCACGTAACCGCTGGTCGGTTACGGCTTCCTCCACCACCAAGTCCATGCTTCAGAAAACAAACAATATAACTAATCCCATACCCGACTTGGAATGGTAACCGGACGAGAGGCTGTGGTTCGCCATATGGATAAGCCGTCTTATCGGCTTTCCTCTCCCCCGGGATAAATATGTAAATCCTAATCCTAATCCTAAAATTTTTTTTTCCAGAAGGCTATTACTTTTTTTCGCTATGACGTCACAAAATTATGTGACTCTACGTGTCCATATATTTGAGCATAGCTCTCTTGTCTTTCATTGGGAACAAAATTAACATATGAATAATTTTGTTATAATGTTGTTGATCACGTTGTTAGTAATCTTTTTCTTTGTTTTTTTATTGTTTGAATTGTATATAAGTCATAAATATATATAAAAGCAAACTCAATACTGACAAACCGGAATGATCTTTAAAAAAAAGAATTGCCCAATGGCATCAAATGTTTTTTCAGAATATTCCAATTCTACGTTGCTTTTTTTTTTCTGTATACGCTTTCAAAGTAATTTTATCAATTAATAATTTTACATCTTACTACACATTATTTTTTTCGAGAAATTTGTATGAGGATTGTGATTTTGCATCGTAATTTCACGCAGATTTAAGATCAGCTGTTTATTGTCACTTTTGTGTAAATTTCGAGATTTCGTAACATTTCTTCCGGTCGTAAATCAGCTTTGCTATTTTAATAAGAAACAATTTTGACGATGTGTACATTCTTTTGCATTTAGTAGCCTAAATATTACAGAACTGTGAGATAAGTCTGGATATTTTTGTCTTTGTTTAGCTTGCAAGTGGTCAGCTTTTGTTGGACAGCACAGACTGACCTTATTTCTGCATTTCCACAGTTGTTGCGTCATCGTGCAATTGCAGCTTCAGCCCTGTAGCTTTAGATATTTGTTGTTCACACTGTAAATAGCGCGTACCAGTACAATCTGACTATAGTTATGGTGCCTTCACACCTTTAATCTACAGTAATTAGCGCTTCACACTATCTGCGTGTTTGAAGTAACATTCTCACTTTGGGAATAATTTGCGCCGTTACCAGGTTACGGGTTTTGACGGTCAGACGGTTCAGCGTTACATAATACTGCAATATCGACGTCTGAATGTGGGCAGATCGCCAGATTAAAAACGCTCATTTTGGCAGAAAAATAGATCAGTCTGATCAGGCGGTTTCAAGTTATTTTGAATAAAATAACAGAATTGAGTGTGGCATTGAAGATTTCAAATTAAGGACCACTTCTCAAGATTGCAAGAAAAATTGAGGTTGACAACTGGAATATACAGTCTATATACACAGATACAAATATATAAAGCTGTTGGTATAACTACATCCACTTTCTATAGAAACTTCTTGCAGCTTTCCGCTGCGAGACTGGGATTCCTTGACGGTCAGCTTCAAAGAACTGCATGCAGGCATGACAAAATAAAATCCACTTCCTGACTTCCAGAGTTGCAACGCAATTAGTCACAGTTTTTGAAGACAAATGAATTAGAGAATGTCTCGAAGGAATCAGAAACCCTCGGACCCATTTACAGGAGAAGCCCAACAATCGGAGTCCTATTCAGAATGCATGTGGCATAAGGTAAAGAAAAATCCACTTCTACCAGTGGGATTATCATGGACTATGTATTACTTAGTAAAAGGACTTTTAAATATGGAAGATCCCGTAATATCTCAAAAAATGATGCGAGGAAGAGTCTTAGCACAAAGTTTTACTTTTATTGCACTTTTAGGTGGAATTTTTGTTCATGATTACATTGAAGAACTTCGTGAAAAACGACTGAATAATGATTCATGATTTTTGTCATTTTTTTTTATAATAAACTTTTAGAAATTGTTTTCTTATTTATTAAGCTTTAGGAAATACTTGTGCACACTATATTTTGAATTTTTTCTTATTGTTGAACAATTTTTATTGAATATTTATTGGGCCTGGTCACTAAGGCATGAATGATCAGAAATATCTTGCCAAAGCTCGACTTGACCTTGTGATTATATCGTTATTAAAGTTGAGTAGACCTTGTGATTATATCGTTATTAAAGTTGAGTAAAGTTGAAGGTTTTGAATCAGAATATAAAATAAACTATGTTTTATATTGTTTTATAACATCTGAAAGCCCATATTTGTTAATATCTTGATGTTCAATATATTCAAAAGCATGTATTTGCATGATGTGTTGTAATTTTTTGTGCCATGGCTATCTTCAAAATAAAATTGTTCATCTGATTGGCTTATGCTATCGGAGTAAAATATGGTTAGTTCTGAGGAACGGTATTTAGTCCATGTAGTTGGTACTATCGGTAATGTAGCTGAGTTGGAGTTGTCCAGGCATGGCAAAAGGGAGGTTGTGTCGAGTTGACCAGACTAGAGGTTTTCAATCGGGGTTCCGTGGCACCTAGGGTTATGTCAGTACAGTTGAGGGATTCCGCAAGTTCAGATCCAAGGGTTTATGCTAATATATGTTTATTTTTCGAATATAATTCAATACCTATTAGATTTGTTTGCCTTGCATTATTAAACTTAATGTTTTTTTTGCCTGCACTAGATTTGGACATTGATAATTTGCCTGAGAATTGTGAACTGTTCAATTAGGCCAGTGGTTAGGTACAAACAGTTTTTTCTAGGCAAAATGTTCCTCTCGAAAACTGCAGGTGGAAACTTGGATATGGGAGATAAATATATGGAATATGATCTGTCAAAAGCTACCAGTATTGATTAGAATCTTCAAGTGGTTTGATGTTGGGGAATATACCGACTCAGAATATCAGGGAACCAGTACTGTCAAACTGGATACCTGTTATTTTTTTTTTAAATCGCACTACTCAGAAATTTGCTTCTATAAAGTTTTACATAGGAAAGTTTTCATTGTGGCGAAGCGTAGGGTGGTTCAAGTAACCGCTGGTTGGTCGCGGCTTCCTCCACCATCAAGTCCATTTATCTGAAACAAATAACTGGCTAACAAATCCCATACCCGACATGAACTGGTAACCAGACGAGAGGGCATGGTTCGCCATATGATTGAGCCGTCTTATCGGCTTACCCTCGGGATAAATACATAAATCCTATCCTATGTATCCGAGTGCTTTTACTGAAAGTTTTATTCTACGCTAAAAGATGAATAAATCCAAAAAAAATGTATTACTATATCGTAAAGTTCTCTTATTTCATTTTCAAAAATCTTATAGGCCTACATCCAGTGGTGGGATTCAGCCGGTTAGCACCGGTTCCATAGAACAGTCTTACAGAATTTTATGAGATCAGCGAACCGTTATTACCAGTACCATTACTGGTTACTGTCAACCTTCTGTTTGTAACCGAATCGGCTGAAAAATATAACTTTTGTGGACGAATTGGCTGACAAAAAATTTGAATCCCACCACTTCCTACATCTAAATACATTGCTTGTTTGGGTCTTATTCGGAGCAAGAAGGTGGGTAAAAATGTCACCATATTTCTATATTTTTTGCGATGCTCGAGCAAATTTATACTGATATGTGGATCAATATTTTTTCAGCCATATAGTGTTATTTATACTTCTTCATTGAAGCGTTGTAGTGCTAGGCCGCAGTAGTATAATAATCTGTGAGTAGTTGCTGCATATTGTCATGGCTCCTCCATTCAAAGTTGTCGTCACAGGGTTTGGACCGTTTCGTGACCATAAAGTCAATGCAAGCTGGGTGACTGTGCAGGTCTGTATTTTGGATGATTCAAGAATTTCGATATCTCAGTTTTTTCAAACGTTTGCTTAAAGTAGAGGGAGTCAATTTATGAGGCGCAGTTCTTACCACTTCATGGCAGCTCCTGCCACGAACGAACCGCGGCAACTCATGCCATGGTTTTATAGCGCTATTCAGTAATCAGTATTAACGGTATATTCACAAATTAATGTACCAGATTTTAATTGATCATGTGGAATTATATCTACTTAAACCCTAACCCCAAATCCATCAAAACTGTATCCATAAGAAAAACGTTCCAACTTACCCAATATTTGTCACCATAAAGGACAGCCCTGTCTTTACGGCCCACCTGCCGCGGTTACGGCAGCAAAATTTTACCTGCCATTGGTTTTCAGTTTGCTGCCGCGGTAACGGCAGCCTGACATTGGTTTGTGGCAGCTAAAAAGCCAGTCGCCATAGGTTTGGCCGTAGCGGCCATGGTATGGAAATACCGCCATGGTTTTGCGGCAGCTGCAGACGCAACAGAATACTTGAAACTGAACTTGCAATTTATGGCCTGTGGGCCGGGTCCAGTCCACCTGTGCCTGGTGAAATTATGACACTGGTTTTATGGATATAAATTTTCAATTAAAATATCAATAAAAAAATAACTCTTGATTGCTACTGTACATTGCGTTTCTCTTTATTATGTGAACGTTAGCTTAGTTGTATTCACAGTTTCTCACATTGAGTTTTGATTTCCCTGCCCAGTAACCAAGTCTAATATCTGTAACTGACCCACTCAGAAAAGTAATTGCCCACCCCTGGCTTAAAGCATTGTCATGTGCTTTTAATCAGAAGCAAGAGTGACTCACCTTTGATGAAGTTACATACGGCCACTGAAATGTTAATAAGACTAAGCTACTGAAACGGGGTGTCCATAAGGTCTCTTTACAATTTCAACTTTCAATATATCTTAACTAGTTTTGTTGTTTTTTAATCAGTAATTGTTTAAGTTCACTTAATACATCTATGAGAGCCAAAACAATATATGGTATCGACAAATTCCCTTTGACTTTTTCTCCCAAGACTTCATGGACGCCCTATTATTATATAGATTCATGTTAGTGCATTATGTGCCACTTAATTTTAATTGAAGCAACCTGTATCAACATGATCAACGAAATCTGAAAATTTTTTCGAGGATACAGATAATTGAAATTATTTTTTCAAATTTTAATCAGGTTGTTGGTTCTTATGGCTTTTAATTTTAAAAAAGTGCCTCTGAGTTGACTTTCATTCTGATCTGATTATATATTATTATGTATTAAGCAATTCAAATGGTGATTGAGACCATATCCCTATTTTCATTAACATTTAATATGCTTGTAAGAAAGTCAAGTGAAAATTTGAAATAAAGTCTTGATTTACGTTATTTAATCTGTCAGGTTATGTTTGCTTTAGAAATGAAAAGCGTGTACCAGTACTTCATTTATTCTAATTTTATGGGAAAAAGGTTTTTATATTTCACAATGTATAGCAAGGTCCTATACATTACTAGTCCTGAGACTAACGCTCATTATGATGAAAATCATTCGAAAGTATTTAGTTGTAAATGAATTGTTCTTGTTCTAGCTGGCTCTTGTTCATTAGCTTTCATTAATTATTCTCAGCAATAACATAGACGGTGAACATACATTTGAACCCACGTACATTTGAACCCATGTGTATATCCGCGGGTTCAATCTATATGCGGGTGTTAAAACCCATGGGTTAGAGTTAGTATGGGTTCAAATATCCGTAAAACAAAAAAATTTTCATAGCTGCAATAGTATGTAGATGCAAGTGTCGTGGGTTCAAATGTACGGGAACCAACATAGCCCATAGTATTGATTAGTTCTTTTTTTGGCACAGTATGATAATAATGAATCGAAATTTAGGATTGTAACACTATAAAAAATATACAAAATACAAGAGTTATTCAGTATAGACCAGGGTTTGCCAACGCGTCGATCACGATCAGTCGGTCAATCGCCACGTCGCGAGAAGTCTCCGTGTTTGATGTTTAGTGAATTTGATATCATGCCCTAAACCAGTTACATGCAGCATATGTTGTGTGTGTTTAAAACAGGAATAATACAGTACTGTGCTCGAGCAAAATTTTGCCTCCGAGTGAGTGCATGTGACTTTGCTTTGAGGAAACTCAAAAATATATCTCAAAGACTCATCTTTGCAAATCTTCTACCAGTACTCTCTCCACATTCCACATGAATTTCTGGAACTTGCTTTGAGAAAACTCAACTAAAATTTGACAATTTTTGTACAGAAAATGAAGGAAACTGGTGGTCTTGGGTCGGACATAGAACTTGAGATTGTTCATATTGAAGTAGAGTACGGAACAGTGGATCAGGTCGTTCCTAAACTATGGAAGCAACACAAACCTCAGGTACAGTAAAAGTATTGGGCATGATGACTTAATGCAGTGGTTCCCAACATTTTATGGCTCGTAGCCTCCTTCAGGAGGCTTTCAGTACTCATGGCCCCTGTTTATCATTCCAGTGGTATTTATAGTGTTATTTTGATTGGTAGATTCCAAATCCCATCATGTTCAAACCATTCATACTCAGCAAATTGAAAACACCCTGTGAAATCAAGCAATGAAACTAGGAAGAATAGGAGTTTTCTTGTAATGTGAAATAAGTTTTGCGTCTAAGATTGTCACCCCCTCCCAACTGCTCTGTGGCCCCCTTGGGGGACCATGGGCCCCAGTTGGGAACTGCTGGCGTTGTGGTTAAAGCGTTACTACATCTAATTTTAAGCATCATCTAATTGCATGATAAATTTGGCAGGCAATTTTGCATAGGAAAAACTAGGTCCCTCGAAAAGTTGTTACATTTTACTTGTCAATGGATGCTTGTTTACCATGAGCGTTTCCTCAATCAACATTTAATATTTCTCTCAGGGGAGGCACAAGCCAATGGCTTAGTCATATGACGAACCGCATCTGGGTCGAATATGGAAATAGATAACCAGTTCATCGTACCAGATACGTGGGCATTTGTACTGATGAAAGTTGTGTTTTTTTTTTTTTAATTTAGTGAACCACCTTGTCACAGAGAGGAGTCTAGCCATTTTTTTCACATGTCCTTTTCGCTGCAAATCTGCGCAATGGGTAATCGATAGTTGGTTGTTTCACCATGCTGAAAAGCACTCACGACAAATCACAATAAATTATATATATTGCATTTCAGTGTGATGTGTGATGGGAAATGCGGAAACAAATATTGGTTTCTGAGTAGTGGCACCCGATAAAAAAGTCTAACTGAACATGTTCAAAAAAAGGGAGAAAACTATATGCGTAATATTATGAAAAAAAAACACTACATATGTATATGTGACCTGGTACAGTCGCATGATTCAATAAAATTAAAACGTGGAGCAAGGCATTCAGTATCATGATTTCGAGTCTGTCCTTCATGCTTGAGACAATGTGCCGATGGTCACACCGTGATGGTTGTGCAGTCTTTATTTTTATGAAATATTCTCAGCATATAACTCAATTTACTTTTTCAGCTCATGGTTCATGTAGGTGTGTCTGGTAGAGCAAAGTCAATTACCTTAGAAGAGTGTGCGAAGAATACGACATATGCAACGTAACTAACTTATATTTGCATTTACTTTGTATAATAAATTGAAATAGACTAAATGAGTGATTCAATATCCTGCATCACAAGCAGTTCACTCTGAGGAAGTCAGACTGTGATCAGATGTTTAAAATTTTGTGTGTTGAGTATTTATTCCTGGACACTGAGAAAATCAAATTTTGATAACTAAAACTTTATTGCAGTGGTTCTCAAACTTTTTTAGAATTTGTCAAGTCTCGTGCCCCACCTCAGAAATGACAACAAGCTACAAATAACAGATAGTAAACATTTTTGATTAGCCTCTTCAAAAAATTGTTTACTCTCCCTTTGTGAGGCACGTACTACTGGTTCAGAACATGCGAGCCTCATTTAATATACTTTTAATAACCGGCTAAGTTTTTTTGAGAAATTTCAACTCCTATTACTACCACTAAATTCAATAAATTCGGACTACAGACTTCTAGAAATTCAAAATTATGATGCAGACTCTTGACTGTGCAGTTGGAAAATACAACTTCAGCTCCTAATCCACAGCTCTGTCCTAGACATGACATGGACAAACTACGACCCGTGGGTCAAATCCGGCCCGTTGGGTAATCCAATCTGGCCTGCCTGATGCTGCCAGAACCAAACTAAAACCAAATTTTGATATTTTAGCTAAAAAATAACTCAAGGAATTTGTTAAGCTTGCGATTATATTCAGTTTTGGCATGAGGCCTATTGTTTTCCACTATTGCTTTGGTAACAGTAAAAATATTGTTCATATAATGTATTTTTTTACGTCACACTTACATGGTCCCTGGTTTAAAAACCTTGCCCACCCTTGCTCTAGATCAGGGTGGTCCAAACCCAGGCCCGCGGGCCACATGTGGCCCGCTGCTTCATTATCTGTGGCCCGTGTCACACTCGGAGAGTAATCAAAAAATCGCATTTCGTGGTGTTTCGTAATAAAATAAATCAGAAAAATCTCTTGACATATTGTTACATCACTATTGTCACTGCATTGATCAGTGTTATGGCTAGCTGAGGCAACTAGCGAAGTTGAGTGATGTGCTTGGCAGTCTAAATTATTATCTGGCTTTCCATCTTTTTGGTCGGGAATGTATGCTAACAATATAGGCATCATAGAAAACTTAAAATAAAATCGAATGCGAATTCTATTAGCCCTGGATGGCTATATCTGATAACTATGTGTTGGCACAATAAAAGTGTTTGTTTTGTATTGCACTGTTTACCTATTCTTGGCACTATTGTGGCCCGCGAACGATGCAAAAATAAATTTGTGGCCCGCGGAGCCCACAACCTTGGACCACCTTGCTCTAGATTTCAAACGAATGCCGGTACATCATGCTTTATATTTTTGTAGTCAAGACAACAGTGGAAAATGTCCTCGTAATGGTTGTTGCAAGAAATCTGGGGATTCCTGTCTGAAATCGAGCCTCGATATGAAAAAAATAGCAGAGGAAGCGAAGAAAATCAACCCAGATATCGAGATCGAAACTTCTAAAGAAGCAGGAAGGTTTGTAGTGCCAAGTTAGGATAGGGTTTACATATTTATCCCGTGGAGAGCCGATAAGATGGCTTAAGCATATGGCGAACCACATCCTCTCGTCTGGTTACCATTCCATGTCAGGTATGGGATTAGTTAGTTTGCCATTTGTTTGTTTTCAGGGACATGGACTTGAACTTGATTATGGAGGGAGCCATCACTGACCAGCGGTTTAGTGAACCACCCAATTTTTTTTTATTGATTGCAAATGTTTTATCAAGTGTGGAACTAACTGCACTTATGTCACATTTTAGGGGTTTTGAGTAAATCTCGTTTTTGTGATTTTCAGATCTCTAATTAATGAGTTCCCTAAACAGTGCAAATTTTTTTTGCAAGGGTCGCATTCAGAAAAATCTGTTTTGCTGTGACATGACAGACACAGTTGCTATTCCCATTCGTAATGAGACCGATGCGCTTTCATATTCTCACACAAAAGATGGAATCTTGGCTTTATTTCTGTAATGGTTGGTCTCAGTACTGGTGCTAAATCTTTCAAATTTGCTCGATATTTTGTTTTAACATTAGTTAAAAAATTCTCTTGCAACTCCCAATGAGCTCCCTCACGGCCGTCGGTACCCTGTAGTAAACTAACATTATATTTCACAGATATCTGTGTGAATACATCTACTATACTTCTCTACATTTGAAAAAAGGGGCGTCGGCTTTCGTCCATGTTCCACCCCTGAATCGTAAATATACTGAGGGAGAACTGGCAACTGGTTTACGTACTGTAATAACTCTTATGATTGACCAAATAAGGTCAAGATGACATGACAATTGTTGTATCATAAAAGAATTAGTATCACCCTGACATAAGCTTCATTTTTTACCAATTTTTGTCTTTTTTGTAACAAAAGTGTAGATTTTTTTTATTATGTAAATTTAAATAATTTGTGTAAACTTCTTTATAGGAATTTTAAAACTTTGTTGACTTATAAATATGTGTAATTTTTGCTTTCAATTGTATCTGCTTGCCTCTTTTTTGAGGCGGCACACATAGAAAGCTTCAAAAGTTATTTTTCGCGCTTATATGATTGTATTTCTGTAATAGCTATGTTCAGTTATCCTCAGTAAAAAAAATGTGAAGCCAGACTTTCGAACCTCAATGCTTTTGTTTATGTGCCCTAAATGTATAGAGATTCACCAGTCAAGAGTTAAAGAAAGGCAGTCTAATTGCCTCTATGAAAGAGGTCATTCGAATGATTATTAGGATTTTATATCAACTCCTATTCCTAACCTGCTGTCTATATGGCGACTGATACCATACATTGGTATGGTTTACATATACACGCCTTTTCAGTTCACAAGCTTAAAATGTCCCATTTTTGAAATTTTTTCAGAATTTGTTAATCTTCGGCTCTCGTTGCTAAATAAATGGGGCTCATTTTATAAAGTTTTGACAATTTCGCATGACATTTTCACAATTTTTCTTCCAAGTAATTTTTTATTTTTTTAGGTGTAGAATGCCGTAATGTGTTAAACATTAAAAAAAATACGAAATAATCAGAGCAAATTAGGCGTAAATTAGATTAGGGCAAATTAAAAATTATGATAATTTGTGGTGGTTTACATTTACAAATGATTTAGGTTTCTGTGAATGACAATTTTTTTCTATCCTAATCATTCTATCAATATGATAGCAATCTAAACTGGTAATTGGTCTTCCATCGGAAACTTGGCAGAAGATTTTTCTATTACGGCGGTTCTCAAACTTTTTGTGCCTGTGCCTACGCTTTTTATCTCGCCTCGCAGAATACAAGAAATTAGAACGTAAAACTGATAATAAAAAATTGCGTAATGGATTTACATCAACTTGCACAACTGTCTTATCACAACATCTTTTGAGGCTTTTGGACAATTAAAACATTATGCCAACCGTTAACGATATTGAACTGGCACGTGGCCTTTCTCATTTTCTTCGAAGAAGCTCACCGAACAGCAGTGTTCCGCTGAACAAAGTTTGAGAAACGCTGTCCTAGTATATACCGGTACCTTGAGTACATTACAAAGTCTTGAGTACATTTTTGGGAAATTTGGTTCTGAAAAACATGCATATTAATCACTACTATGTGTCGACTTCTTATTATTTAGATTTTATATTTATGTTCCGTTATAATTTGTGCCTTTACAAGGTGATCATGGTTTCAGATGTAATTCTGTATTTATCATTGTGCTTATTAATTAATAGATATAGGGTTATATAATTTATTACAGGATTTCTTAATGTTCTTCTTATCTGATTAGAGCGAATTTACGTTTTGTTTTAATTACTCTTACATTACATGGTGATAGAACTCAACCTATAAATCGTTATTTCACTGAAAATAATTTTTTTTTATTTATGCTTTTTTAAGAATAGTTAATGATAATTAGGGATGTTATCAGTAGATGTTTTCTGGTCCTACCACCCTAAAAATTGACAGCGTTTGTAAATTTTTTGGACACTGCCCCAACCTGAACCTTGGATTCTTCATCTGTCCCTTCCAGAAAATGCTTCCTATATGTTTAGTGACTATTGTGAAATTTTTGAAAAATATTCACATATCATTTATTAAAATATTTGGCACTCCCGAAGTATGTGAACCAAGATGGCAGACACCGGAATGTGTACCAGGTTAGAGTTAGGCCATAATTTCAGGTACAAATGCTACGGGAGTCACTTGGCTAGTCCCCGAACTCGTATGAACTAAAATAAGGAAAGTTGGAATAAAATTATGGCCTAACATGGTACACCTATCTATGTTCCGGTGTCCGCAACTTTGGGAGAACCAATATTTAACATACACTTTGCCGCAGAGTTATGATGTATGAGACTGCACTTTCAAATGAATACTTTCACAACCCTGGTCTGATCAGGGCTCTGCTTATAATTTTCACCCGTTTGAAATTGCTTTTAAAAAGTTAATTTTCTTTTTAGTTTAGTGAATGTAATTTGCTTCATTTCTTGTAAATTTTCATATCTTTGTATGTTTATAATAATTTTACGTCTCCTAGAAATAATGCTCCCACTTATGTATATTCCTGCTATATATTTGATGCCTATTCTTTAATTTGACTTGAAATAAAATTATGTGACACTCTTATATTGTCTTGAACAGAATGGATGGTTTTAGAATTATGACTTACCTATTTATCCCAGGGGAGAGGAAAGCCGCTAAGACAGCTTAACCAAACGACGAACCACGGCCTCTCATCCAGTTACCATTCTTTGTCGGGTATGGGATTAGTTAATTATTTGTTTTCGGCAGCTTGGACTTTGTGGTAGAGGAAGCCGTAACTGATCAGCGATTACGTGAACCACCCAACGACGGCAAGAAGTCCAGCAATCCTCTTGCACATAACCATTCCTGCATGGGATGCGAACCCACGCAGAGTAATCGAGCGTATTCCTAATGCTTAGCACGATGATCCACACCGTGACGCCACGCCAAATTGGTTTGGGGTGGAAGTCAAGTTTGTTCTGATTCTGATTCTGTCGGTTTGAAGCAGGTGTAAAAAAATCTAACATTCAAGAAAACCAAATGGAACCATCACTCATTGAACTTGTGCTTTCTGGATATTTTACCACACCAAACGTGAAGAGTATATATGCTTGTCTATAGTTATACAAATTTGCTGATTTTTTCATTATATTTATCCAGGAGGAAAGTCAATAAGACGGCTTAGCTATATGGCGAACCTCTCTCGTCCGTTCCATGTTGAGTAAGGGATTAGTTATTTGTTTTCGGAAGCATGGACTTGAGGAAGCCGTAACCGACCAGCGGTCACGTGAATCAGCGTGAATATATAGAATGGGGTTCATGGATGGTTTAATATGAAAAATGGGGTTCATCGATGACAGAAGCATTAGTAAGAGATTTTTGTTTGATGTATTCTGCTTATTCATTGCTATGTGAAGTCTGTCCACGACCCTGTTGACACTGTTCCTGACCTGATATTTATATTTTAACACTATCATTATCACAAATAATAAAAAATATAGCAAATGTATTAATTAAAAAAATTGATACAATAGATACACAAATTGGGATTAAGATTCATTAGGGCGAATGAAATGTAAATATGTTTGAAACGCAACGAAAACGTGGAAGAATTCAGAAAATCACTAGTGCAGGCTTATTTATATGTATCATATAAATCTTTTGAAACAAATAAATAACAGTGCAATCATAATTAACATAAAACTCAAATTTAACTAATTTATCTTGCATAACCATGGTCATATTGAAGCATTTTTTTCCACCAAGTAAGGTACAACATACAAAATTAAAAGAAAATGAAACACACGACTTCAGGGGGAAGAGAAACCACAGGGTCGCAAGCAGCGTCACCCAAAATTTTAATACCTAATTACGATTTATTAAGTCAAGGTTGACGAGTATAATTTTGGCAGTAACTAAACCAACATTGCGAATGACGACTATAGATAATATGAGACCAGTGATTGCCTTAAAGGGGGTGAGACACCACACTTTAATTCCTAACTTAAACAAGAGAGCTATGCTCAAATATATGGACACGCGAGACAAAATGAAATATATTGTCTCAATTCACGGAAAATCATAGCGTATCCTGAACGAAGCTGAACAGTGAAACAGCTAAATGGTTACAATACGGAGACTTACTGACCCGCCCAGCTTGGCACAGTTTACCGATTCCATAAAAAGCACCCACATTAAAAGATATTAATCATACCAGTGAGTGCAAACCCCGCTATTACGAGACAGTTAGTTTAGTGTCACCGCGCTGTATTACGGTACCGGCACTGCACAATCCACAGAAAATTTTAAAATAAAAGTAATAGCCTTCTAGCGAAAAAATCAAACTTTATCCACTAAAAATTTCTAAGCAATTGTTCCAGTAATCAAAGAGAAAAGCAACTTTTTAATAACGATAAAATTTTGTGTCAAAGAACAACAACAACATAATAACAAAACGATCCATAGGTCTACTTCGTGTCCAATAATTGTATTCGAATAATCATAAAGTGGCGTGAATACCAGTGTAGACGGTCAGTCAGATAATACATTTCTCAAGTTACAAATACCAACAAAATATATACTAGCCCCTTGATTCGGAAGCACCCCTAGCATATTGTATTAGACGACCATCATTTTAGCATCCACTCAAGACACTTTTTACACTTGAACCAATTTTTTCAATCATGGTCATGAACATTGACTCTCTTTTTCTGGTGAAAAGATTCACGAAATAATCATAGATACTTTTGCACACATAGAGTAGAGAAAGAGTTTTAAAGTGGGAAAACATTCATTTTGGAGTAATTTTATGGGAGATTGAGCAGGCTTTGATTTTCATAATACTAGAATCGAATAGTATTTATGTTCCTCACTGCCTCTGTAAAGAGATCAGGCAGGATTTTCTTAGTTGAGCATTGATCAGTCGATCTCATCAATGAAATCTGCAAAGTAAAATTTAAATTATAACTGGGAGAAATCAACTTTCTTTATGTGGGAGGAGAGAATCTCGTCGCTCCAGAAGTATGTGTACTAAGATGGCGCACAACCTGAAAATAGTATGTGCACCAGGTTAGGGTTCAGGTTGTGCGTCATCTTGGTACACATACTTCTGGAGCGATGAGATTTTCAGGGACTCATCTCACAGCTAAGTTTCAGATGAACACTGAAATATCAATTTCTACTGAAACCAGATAAAATTATGATTGCTCATAAAGCGATAGTGATGTAATAATATATTGACTTTACGGCTGGTAAATCGTGCTAAGCATTTGGAAAACGCTTACCATCGCGTATCAAGGTTGCAGGTTTGAATCTTGTAGAAAATAATTATGTGAAAGAATTACTGGACTCTATCTGCAAAGGGTGGTTTGTGTAAGCTCTGGACCGCCATCACGTTCATGCATCAGAAACAAATAACTGGCTAACTAATCCCATACCTGACATAGACGAGATCAGACAAGATGCAGTGATTTGCCATATAATCAATTCGTCTTATTACTTTCCCCTCTCCATTTTCCACATATATAAAAAAATTTAAAGAAATACCTAGTTTAGGCCATAACAGGTTATAATCCAAACACTCAGTCTTTCCATTTAGATTCAATTCAAACTTAATATCAAGAAGTTCCTGCGGTTGCGGAAGTGGAGATACCTGGGTGAACGAAGAAAAAAGGAGATAAAGTTGTCTTCGCAAAGAGAAACATGTTATAAGAAAACTACCCCCTTTTTCAAGACCTAAATCGAATAATTAGTGAAATTTACCTAATATGAAGTGCGCTACGAGACTATTTTAGGCTGCTAATGGTAATTGAAGGCACGAGCTCAACGGTTGTCATAACACGGTAAGCGTGAATATGCTCGAGAACACATATGATTACCCTGCCTGAATAATAAGGGAGATAAGTTGATTCCAACCTAACCATTCTAACACGACAGAGGGTAAGGCTGCTGAACTCAAAAGTATGGTTCACATAACCAGAGCGTGAACAAACATGTTTATGTTTCCAGTAAGTCAAAAAACAACTTACCTTTTTGAATGCCTTTACGAAAACAAAAACAAAAAATATTCAACACTTGAACTTCTTCTTGAAGCCCAAATGCTTCAGTATTCTAGGACGCTTCGCACAAAGTTATATATTTTCTAGAACAGGGGTGTGTAACCTTTATTACAGAAGGCCCAGATACGAGTAACTGGGTGGAGCCGTGGGCCACACCTTTATTTACCTAAGATGGCCTTTCTAGTAATGCACAGAGATTGGAATTGCTCTCACATACCAGATTAACTAAACTAAAAACTCATTTAGAGGCCATTTAGAATTGGCATCCTCCGCGGGCTCCTCTTCCTTGCAGGCTTCATTTAGCCCACAGGCCGCAGTTTGTACACGTCCAAGTGACCAGGGTTCTGTTTTTTTTTTTCTACGGTCACAATAAATTGGAAATAATACCTGAAATTCAATGACTTTTCTATTTCCCTTCCAAAGATCTTCACTTATTGAAAATCCATTCTTATTTACCGGAATGAAAGTGTAGTTTTGTGTTGTTTCATATGACTCTGCACTGAAATAAGATTTTGATGTTTTTTTTTACAGTGTGTGTTTTACAGTTACGTATTCGAATACCAAACTATTCTAGAATTCGGTGAAAAAACCGACACTGCATCAGTGTTTGAAGGACATTATTTCCCACTATAGGTGAGTGAAAGAAAAAAATGACACGATACAAACTGTGACATATTGAACTAATGCACATGTAACACTGAGTTTACAAAGAGTCAGACGACGCATCATGTTAAGAGTTGGGAAAACGCTCACCATCGCACCTTTGATTAACCTGCGTTGGTTCACAGATTCGAATCCCCTGGAGAAGAATACTTAAGCGTGATGAGTGCAGGATTTCTCTTTGCCTTAAGGTCGATTACTGGCTAGCTACTAATAATCCCATAAGCAGCATGGATTGGTAACCAAACAAGATGCCTTGGTTTGTTATATGATTATGTCATTTTATCAATTTTCCTGTCTCTCCAGGATAAATATGGATAAAATATTATTCTCTACCTGATCTTAATAGAAATTTGGTTCCCACATTTCACTGTTAAAAGATTAAATATAAACGGTGTTGGGCTGTATTCTGCTCTGTTCATTTCTGAAAAAACTTCTTTCTTCGTTGTTTCATCATCAAGCGAGAATATGCATCTGAATTTACCTGTAAAATAAAAGTGTATCAAAACTGTAAAATGATACACAATAATAATCTGATGCAAGAGTACCAAAGAATTATGTATTGAAACGCAGGTCCATGTCTATTTCTTACTTAGGATCCACATATAGCAGTTGCATAAAAATATGTGCATATTTCCTAAAAAAGTGATTCAAGAGTTTTGCTACTCTATAACATGAGTATATTTCTTTAACATTTTGTATGACCAAGGTCAGTGTTAGTGTGCAGCAAGACTCTTGACTAACTTAGGATAGTTATCTTTACTCTTGCCACAGCAACCTTGCATCATATGGATACGTAACACCCACTGGCACAAAAGCATAAAACAGTGGACCCTAAAGTTGATTGCCTGGGTAAAAATTATAAGCGGAAGGATATTCGCGTGCCAAGAGGGGGCGCCGACACTGGTACCCGTACGTATATTTAAGATACCAGCACAATTAAATTGTTATGAATATACACTTGCTTAAACTGTGATAATGATGTAACAATTGGCGGTATCTAAAACGCAAAAAGGTAAAAACATAAAGTGTTCTACTATTTCACTAAAGTACGGTGGTCTATATTAAATTGTTTCGCAAGCTGCGGTTTGGGAACCACTGACATGGAAGATGAATAGTTAGATACCAAATTGATAGCAAAAAGTAAAATGATTTTGATAAAAAGTACTCAACAATTCTCACCCTTTTTGTTGAAGAAAAGTTCTGGCTGAACTTTAAACTCAACCTTTTCAATGAAGAGTGTTTTTATATAAACAAACAATCTTGAAACATGCTCGGTTTCAAAACTTATATATTGTCCCGTTTCTCTCAATTGTTTTTGAGCAAGTATTTTTATGTCCGAATCCTCATCTTCCATGTAAGCGACGTACGCGATAACATTTTCTTGTTTCGTACGACACCAAGTTCTTAGTCTAATTATCATGGGAAGATGGGACTGTATAGGTGTGCTAAAAAAGAGAATCAAAATTTGAGAAATAGATATTGTGGTAAAAATATAGTATGCTTCCCAGCTTTTATGAGAGGCGTCGTTTTTCAAATTTAGGCATCGGTAGAAATATTGCTAATAGCAATAAAACTATTCATAACTTCTAAAAATGTGTTATGTATTTGACTGACCCTCTGCTCTGATATTTACGCCACTTTCTGGGTATTCAAATACAATTATGTTTAAGTCAAGAATCAAAGTGTGATGTCAGGGAAAATGAAGAGACATTCTCACTGAGTTCATTACAAAAGGAAACTTGTTCCCTACCTACCTACTACTCAAAACTGGAGTTATTCCGACAAAATCTTCCGGGCAAAATTGTGTCAAATCTGTTTGAAGATTCAGTTTAAAGAGCACAGGATGGTTCAAAGCTCCTGGTGGAATTGTAACGAAGCAATCATCGAAATGAATGGAACCTCCTTCGGGGCCGATCTCAGCTTTTCCAATTTCTGTGAATAAAACCAGCAATGAAGAGATATTATATTTTTATCAGGTGTTGTGCAATTTTCCTCTATGACTTTGAACGAACCTTTACTGGAAATAGATGTAAAAATACTATGATAATAATCTTGGGAATCCAAAGGTGAAGTTTTTTGATTGCGTTTCTTTTTAGTTAATTCAGTAATTGGGGTCTCATGTAGTTTCGTACCTAACGTACTTCTAGTAGGCGTAGCATAACAATTTCTTCACATGTCAATCCTAACCCCCACCTGACCACACCATTCAAAAATTACGTCACTACAACGTCTCAGTGACGTAATAGAGCCCTTCAAACTATGCAAACTGTCATCCAAAACGTGCAGACGAGAACCATTTCTCTCATTTTCTCGTCGCAACGATCCCGGTAGAAAAGAAATCGCTGACGTTAGTCAGTTCTTTATCCTCGGCGCCGATGCCATTTCGGGCGATCGTACGAGTATTTGGCAAGCTCTATGACGTTATTGTGACGTAATTTTTGGATGGCGTAGTCAGGTGAGGGTTAGGATCGGCATGTCAAAAAATTGTTATGCTACGCCTACTAGAAGTATGGGGTCTGGTATAGTTTAGTACCACATTTACTTCTAGTTGGCCTGGCTCATCAATTTTTGCATATGTCAATCCTCACCCCCACCTGACTACGTCACCGAAAAATTACGTCATTCCGACGTCAGAGTGGCGTAATAAGGCTCACCGAAGTATGCGGATGGTCGTCCAAAACGCACAGACGATAACCCAAAATCGAGCAAGCTATTTCTCTCGTTTTCTCGTCGCAACGATCACGATAGGAGAGAGATCGTCGGCTTTGGCAAGTTCTGATCGGCGGCGCAGATGCCATTTCGGGCGATCGTAATTATACTTTGTCAATCCCTACAGCCCTATGATGTGATGGTGACGTCGTAGTGACGTAATTTTTGGATGGCATAGTCAGGTGAGGGTTAGGAATAACATATGCAAAAATCGTTATGCTACGCCCACTGGAAGTACTTGTGGTACTAAACTATACTAGACCCCAGTAGGATTCTAGGCCGATCTCCTAAATTAACTTTGATTTTTTGAAATTGTTTCCCTAATAGCAATACAATACAACAACAGAATGGATTGACAAAGTAATCATGTCCCTACCATTAAATCCAATGGATTTTTGCATTTTCAAGATCTGTTTTTATCTTAAGATAATATATGCCTCATATTCTTCTCCTCTGGATGAATACAACTGCCGTACGCTCTCAACATGTTCCGCAAATCCCTCCAAGCTTAGGGGAAAATTCAGTCATCATTGCTACCGGATGTCATATCCGGCGCGAATGTCATAAAACCGTCGAATTTGGCATCGACGTGGATTTGCGTTTTCAGTATGTTTCCAATGAAAGATTTTTTTTATTTAATATTCTTGTCAACAATAAAATCCAATTTCAGAATACTAAACGACAAGAGAGCTATACTCAAAGATATGGACACGTAGCGCCACATATTGACAAATTTCAATGGCGTCATTACTCAGCATCTTCACTCACTGAAAACTTCAAAGTAGTTGGTCCAGTAATCGAAGAGAAAAGCGACTTTTCCTTAACGTGTAAAACAATAATGATAAGAACAAGAATAAGAACAACAACAATAACATAATATTGAAACGATCGTTATGTCCACTGACGTGTCCAATAAAATGCTCGGAGCAAGCTCACTCGGAGGTAAGGGAGACTCAGCAATGTTACGGGCAGCCAATTCAATTAATTTTATTTTCGTCACTCTGACATAAAATAAAACAACAAAAAACGAACAAACAAAATGTAGAGGACCTGGAGGACGGGCATAACAAGTACGCGCACGTCCATCAAAATATAGTTGAAGAACATAATAAAATAAACATACACGATATAAAATCGGGCAATTACTTAAATTTGTTTTGCCGTTGTTCGCGATTATATTAAACTACTTAATCAGTTTACTATCTTCCTTAATGAATAGAAAAGAAATGATTCCAAGTAATTCTTTCGTATAAATATATATATTACCGAAATCCAAGAAAAGGAATTTATTAAAACGTCTAATGATAAAAATGAAAGAATAAATCCATTGCATACAAAGAATTAAACAAATCACATTCAATTTGCTTAAAATCAGAGGTGTGCAATCAGTCAAGTTTAGTTATTCTTAAGCAAGCTTTCAACAAAATGATTAAGTAATATAAAATTTATAATAGGATATTTCATAAGAGAATTAGCTCAAATCAAGATAACGTGCACTCACTCAAAAGTCAAAGAGACACATATCTGAGTGACGTTAGAAGTGATAGCTGAAATGACAAGAGCTGTACAAGCTATATAGATTCGCGGTGGGGGATTTAAGTTCACTGAAGTTCAATATTTAAAATTACATATTACATATTATTACATATTTACATATTTACAGCATACATTTTTATAAGTTACAAATACTTTTATCACTACAGTATTAACAAAATAGCCACCAACGCATTTATCCCCCCAATACAAATCACAGTTACGCAATTCAGAAAAATAAACAGCGATATATTGTCAGGCTAATAACCGAATTGCGTAAGACATTTTCAGCGATTTTTGTTTTTTTTATAAATAGTTATTTATGTAATGCTGCGCACCGTTCTGTCAACTCAGATTTTATTTTAAAACCCATAAAAATGGAGATTTTGTATGACATGCACATTTGTGCAAATGTTTCGTCATACTGAATTATCATTTTTACCGCAGGATTATTGTGACGTCACATAGGGAAAATAACTTCTGCGAAGTATTTTCAAGTGTTTGCATCTCAGTTTCTAGCTTAGCGCTCATAAATTTGAATTTATGCTACAGTATAGGAAGGCGTGCACTTGTGATATTCACTGTCCGAGTTCAATTCACCTTAGCTGGCTTTTATATTAGGTGCATTGCTGTTTCATTGGACACGTTAGTGAACATAACGATCGTTTTGTTATTATGTTGTTTTGTTGTTGTTTTTGTTCTTTGGCACAGAATAGGACACCTAGAGGAAATATTGAAAAATCCCCATTCTCGTTCATTACTGAACCAATTGCTTTGAAATTTTTAGTGGTTAATACCTTTTAGAGTTGGACTAGGCTAAATAATACTGAATATATGCCATCCGACGGTGTTGGGTGCTTTCAACAACTTTGCGACTTCCTCTCAAATATGTATAGAAATTTGTTGCTGTCGAAGCTATTTAGTAGTGGAAAATGAACTGCTTTCTTCAATTCAAATTGAGTTTCATACAGTTCAAGCTTTGGGATGAATGCCTGTATATCTTCATAACAGTCTGTAATTAATTTCACAATGGGTATGAAACTCATTGTATCGCTACAGATGTTGCATTCTTGAGTGGCCCTCCGCAAAATCATATTCTGTGGCGTTAACAACGCTTTTCTTCTGAAGGAGCCGCGGGAAATTGAAGCCTAAAATCTAGTTTTGATTTGATACCATACCAGGAAATTTTTATGTTAAATATGATTATACGTCCGTAGTTATATAAAAACTTCAAGTGGGCCGCACGAATCCTTCCCGTGGGCTATATGCGGCCCGCGGGCCGCGGGTTGGGCACCTCTGTCTTAGAGTAACCCCGCATGTTATCATAACGCAATGCATTGCTTGACAAGTATCTATTTACTTTAGGATTTTCTAAACACATCAAAAAATGTTGGTTATATCATAAGAAAACTTTAAATACTTAATTCCGTGAAAAGGAAGGACATTTTGACGTTTTAGAGCGTCCTCGAAGGACAGAAAGAATTTAGCGTAAAAAGAGGTCAAATCCTCCAAAGGGCGGACGTATGGTAACCCTACATAAATAAACATTGGTATTTGTAAGGTATTAGGTATACGAGGTTCTTGAAAAATTGTGAAAGGTTCAACACTATAGAAAAGGTTGAAGAACACTGGTTTAACACATCTAAAAAGAGCTATATTAATTTTGGAGATTCTATTTGCATGTTCATAAAATGACATATATATACCCGTATAATGGTTAAATTTGAAATTTCACTCTTGTACCACGGTTAAGTTACCACACGCCCAAGAATAAATTGACCAAAACTGCTGGAAAATATTGGTAATTTTAAGTTCGATAAAATATTTGTTTTTCGCATCTTTTTCGCAAACCAGAAGTGATTATTTGATTGGCCATTTTAATCGTCAAGGACAATAAACTAGATAATCAACCTCGAAATTACTTCATCGACTATTCGTGATCTTCATGGTATTCCTATTTGTTGGTGTTTGTTAAACTTTTATGAAAAAAAATTCCTAATCGCAAAATGCAAGCCTACTTAAATCTTTTTGTCGCAGTTGTCAGGAAGCCACTACACTCCGGGAGCAAAGGAATTGGGTGCACCAAGATGGCGCACAACCTGAACCCTAGCCTGATACAAATACTATGTTCAAGTTGTGCGCCATCGTGGTGCACATACTTCTAGAGGTCCTGTTTTTTTTTAATCAACTTACTCCCAGACACGTTTGGAAATAAAACATTATGATGGACGTGGAAAAGTCGAGACTAAAATTTCGTGCAAACAATAGTTTTAACATGCGCTAGACTTCATCAGATTGAGCATAAATAGCGAATATCGTCTCGCTTAGATCACAACGACCGTGTTCAATCGATTTATAACTTACAGAGTTGACCAATTATCGCCCACCACCGCCGTGGTCTATTAGGCACATTAAAACTTCTTAATTGTAAAATGAAACATAGTCCAATATATTTTGATGGACAAGAAAATTGAGGATTAGCGCTAGATAAAATCAAAACTCAATGACGTTCAATGGTCGCCTACTAATATCAAATCTTTATATAGCACCTCAGTGGCGGCATGCAGTGATTATTTGTTTGTGACAATTCTTCGTCCAGGAAAAAAATAAGTAAAGCTCGTCGTCCCTACCATGGAGCCAGCGGCGTTTCAAACTTTTCTGCTGACCGTGGCGAAATCTGATAACGACGCTATACCTAACTATATTTGGAAATAAACAAATTATAGATGTCGTTGTACATGAGAATAAATAAACTAGAGGTGAAGTGATTGTAATATTATTATTTAAATCATCAAACTCCTATAACGTGCTGTCCAGGTTGGTTGCCACTTTGGCCCCCTCTAGACACGCCACTGCATGGAGTTCTGTTCCCTCTGTTTTCATCTATCACTCACATTTCCAATTGCTTTAGCTATTTATTATAATATTTTCAAGTAAAATCAGTATCATATTCTATATCATTTCTATATTAATATCGTTTGTATATTTACTCAGTACAAAACCAATTCATCTGAGAAAGGTATAAGAGTATGCTCCACCATTAAAAAGTATTATTATTCCAGTGACAAAAGATTTGGAACAAATTTTAGCAGAATTTTTGAATGCATGAGTGATTTGGCATGAACCATAGGGAGAATAAATATTTATCTTTGCATCAGATTAATTAAAATTCTTATCATATATAATCAGGCACATTAAAAGAGGAAAATATCAGTTGCTATTGTATGTAATGACACTAAATAATTTGAAATCCTATTCACATATCCTCTAGCAGAATAAAGAATAAAATATCAGATTGAGTAATATATATTCTTGCACTAAATCAATTCAAATTATAACTACCGTTATATCTCATTTGCCCCAAACTCCATAAGACCCACGAATAAATGACCCAATATAAAGCATAGCAATGTTTTCCATTCTATGCAAACAAAACTTATATCGATATCCTTTGTGTGAATGCTCAGCACATAATTCGTTCAATATATCACAAAAACATGCATAACATAAAATAAGAGTCACCAATGTAAATTCATTTTAGAAATCCAAGGTATGCCTCACTAAAATTAAAATGTATTATTATTCTAAACACAAAAAGCCTGTTAGCGTTACCAACATATATAGCCGATCTTAGTTTTTTTAAATTAGTTCTGTAGAATTTATATTCTCATTTGGCGTTAGCCTGGAACACAGAACCTCATTAGCATTGAACTTCTTAAATAATTCGGAACAAATTTTAGCAAAATTTCTGAATGCATGAGTGATTTGGCTTTAACCCTAGGAAGAATAAATATTTATCCTTGCATCACATTAATTGAAATTCTAATCATGTAGAATCAGGCACATTAAAAGAGAAAAATATTAGTTGTTGTTGTATGTAATGACACTAAATAATTTGAAATGCTATTCACATATCATCTAGCAGAATAAAATATCAGATTGCGCAATATATATTCTTGTACTGAATCAGTTCAAATTATA